ATGCTAAACATTATCATAGCTGCCCTTCATAATCAAGAGCACTGTCTGCAGTGAGTCCCTTTTTCTTTATTTCTTGCTAAATGTTGAAAAAATGAGGATAAAAGATGCTGTTAAGTGACATATTGTTAAAAATATGTGATTCTTTTAAAACACAATAAAAGCACATTTCAAATATTTTAACGTATTAATAAATGAGGGGACTAGTAAGATGTTACCAGTGGTTCAAAGGTGGATTTGTGGAACCATAGATACATAAATAATAAGGAATGCTGAAATGAATTTATAAATAGATGTGAAGTCAATAATCAATTGTGTCCTCTACGACATAATTTGCATTTCTGTAGATAAGGATCCTTTGTTTTGTTATCAATTTTTAATAGCTCGCAAAATTACAAACTCGCGTAGATACAGTGAAAGGACAATAGTTACAAAGACGCACTGGACACGATACTCACATTTGCTAAAACGTCAGTGGCAGTGTCTGTCACAGCTATTCTTGCCACATTCCAAATAGCTGGGAATACATACATACATATTACATACACATGTATGTACATATGCACACATACACATATACATGCTCTCATACACGCATATACACATATGTACATACATCTCCTTTTCATGTGAAAATAAAGCTGTTTGATCTTACCTAACTCTTCTGGTTAAAAGTAGTATTCAGATAATTTAAACCATTGAGCTCTTTTGTTGAAGACTGTGTGACAAAGAGGACCCAATAACCAAATGAGGTTTAAAGGATTATACCCCTTAATAGGTGAGAAAGAACTAGGTCAGGGAGGTGGTTTTAGGGAAGAATAAATGAGTTTTAGGGGAGATCAATGGACTCAGAAAGACAATTGACTGAGACAAAGTTTGTTTAAGGTTTGAGTGTTGATGGAGATGATGCGAGCAAATTATGCTCCCTTCTGCTAGAGCCAATCTACGCATAAATAAAAGAAGTGCCTCTCTCTGCTTCTGCTAATTCCCAAGTGCCTGTAAATTAAAACATCCTGTGGCCTGAGGCACCATATTTTAAGGTGTCTTCAATCCCAACTCAGAACTGACCTGTAATTTATTGCAATACTTTATTAGGGATTTTCATATGTAAGTGAATTGTCTCCTTATTGGAGAAAAGCAATGAACACATTCTGTTAAGAAAAAAAAAAGGAAGCCAGGTGGTAGTGATGTATGCCTTTAATCCCAGCACTCAGGAGGCAGAGTCAGGCGTATCTCTGTGAGTTCGAAGACAGCCTCATCTACAAGAGCTAGTTCCAGGACAGGCTCCAAAGCTACAGAGCCTTGTCTCAAAAAACAAAAACAAAACAAAACAAAAAGAAAGAAAGAAAGAAAGAAGGAAAGAAAGAAAGAAAAGAAAGAGAGAAAGAAAGAAAGGAAAAAGGAACGGAATAAGTGTGAAACATCTTTCGACAAACAAGACTCTGGTTGCATGTGACCTTGGGGATACCCAGTACAGGGAGGCACTGTGTGACTCATTCAGTAGGGTAATACAGATGTGTTTCCTTAGCCAGGGACTGTGTCTCTTCACATTGTCATTTTTTGCTTGCCAATACTCATATGTAAACATCAAACTATTTGAAGTTCAGCAGACATCAGAATTCTGATTACACAAATCAGCTCTTGTCTTCCCACCGCGGGCCCTGGGATGCCCCTCTTTACCCTTTGGAAGGATAAGACCCTTTTATACCTCTGCTCGCCTTGTAACTGTGCACATTTACAGAGTGGTTGGAAGTTCGAGTGATTTCCTTTTATTAAAGTATCATTTTAATTTATGCCAAATTGGAGGCAGGAAAGGATTAAAGGATTTGCTGTAGAAGGCTTGGTCGAGCCAGATTTGGAATTCCATGGTTTCACCAGGAGGAATGTGATCTCCCGTGTTGGTCTCATTCTGTATCACTTGGTGGAGAGAGGGCCAAAGCAGAACTCTAGACAATGTCGACAAAGAGTGTAAAAGTTGGCAGGGGATTAGCAACTGTAGAGCTATTCCCTTTGGGGGTGCCCCTAGTTAAAATGTGTATTAGCATGCAACATTAAACTAGGTTTTAAGGGGGGAAGAGTAGGTATTTTTGAAACATAACCGCTACCTATACAAAGACTACTTTTTAATTCCCCCAAGTCATATCTTAGCCCTATTGGCAGGAAAGCTTGGCTATGATAAAAATCAGGGCTTAAAAGTTTTAGAGGAAACGTGACATGAATTTTATATTATATTCATATGTGAAGGAAAAGAAGATGTATTAAATCAAAAGTCATGATGTATGTGGCTTGCCAGAAAGTCCATTAAAGAGTTCACCCAGCAAATTTTGATTTTTTTTAATTTCCTTCCAGGGTATGCTTTATTCAGCGCTGTATCTCCTTCACCAGGCAAAGAACCAGCACAACAGTGTCATTGTGCAAGCAGCAGGCAGGGCTCTGGTTAGGTTCTGGGACCAGTGCTCCATCATAGCAGACTGTTAATTGTTCTTGGCCCTAAGTATGTCCTCTGTGAAGAAAGCACACTAGGTGGGGCTTTGTGTTGGTTTTCTGCACTGGGTCCCAACTGAGGGTCTTACACAGCTATACACCTACTTGTAGAAACCAAGCCAACCTGATAATAACCCACATGTGTTCCTAGCCATCTTTTACTTTTCATTTTATTTTAAGACAAGGTCTCACTAAATTGCCCAGACTGGCTTGAAACTAGCTCTGTAGTTCGGACTGGCCTTGAACTTATGATTCCCTTGCTCCTGTCTACCAACATGTCTGGGAATATAAGCTTTTGTGATTCACCTTAGCTCCTAAAGATTTACTAAGGATCCTTGTGATTTTAAAATTCTGATCCCAACCTCTTAAAAGAAAAGAAAAACGTGTCCATATTGTGTGTGGTATTTGGTTGTGCGTTTGAAACTTTTGTGTGCTAAAGTTTGACTGATTGCTTTCTTGCAGCCCAGTAAACAGTGAATAAGAACTCAGAGCATGATGGGAAAGGAGAAGGAACGCTGCTGAAGACTCACGTAGGCTATTCACCATGGAAACAGACATCACCAAACGCAACACGAGCATTGTCATCGGAGTGGGAAGCTAAGAGGTGCGATTTGGACAGCTTTGGCAGGAGGATTTTTTTTTAAATTTATGCTTTTAGAGGTTTGCAGGGAAAATTTCCAGAAAAGAATCATCCATAGAAAATATTTTGTCCTTGAAGGTAGTGCAGTAGAGTCTACAGAACATCAGCATAGTCTTTTGGGAGAGGGCGTGAGGGAGACAGTTACGGTTTACACTTTCTCCTCGTGGATGAGCTGAATGCACAAGAATTTCCTGTAGGCTCCTGTGACATGGCTGTTAGCTGTCTAAGGTTTGCTAATTTAGCATTCTGGGACAATTTCTTTTTGGCATTTTGCTTGTTAAGTGGTGTCTGCGATGCCTTTAATTTGACCACTATCCAGAAATGTTTTTTGAGAAAGCCAACAGTTTGAGTAGAAGACCGCCAGATGTAGCAGGGCCTCGGCTCATCACATTTCACAGAAGGTAGCAGATGCCATTAAGAGGCAGTGGTGGGCAGAATAGATGGGGCGAGATGAGGTAGAGCCGATTCATGTTTGGGAAAGGAGACCTTTAGCAAACTGAGAAGGGCTTTTGATTGGTGGTCATCACAGATCTTTGCGTGTGTCACTGAGCCATGTAGTACTTCCTGGCAGATCTAGATTTGAATAGATTTGTTTTAGATCATTGTTTTTTCTTTTATCAACCATTTTTAAACATTTTTTTGCCCTTTGAAAAATAATTTGAGAAATAATCTGTTTATGACGTCTTTCTCATTAGACAGAATGTCTTTCTCATTAGTATTTTCAGTTTAGCAAGGCTGGGGCATTTTTCTTTAAAAAATTATAAGAATAAGTACATAAACATATATTCAATAGTTAAAGTATAAGATGAAAGTGAAGCTCGGGGGCTTCAGAATGACTGTTCTATCTCAATAAATGTTCAGTGGGACATATAGATATTAGGTGTGGTTAACTTCAGTGTTTTTATTACTTTTATTTGAAAAATGTTATAATAGTTTATTAAAATAAATTTAAAAGTAGATCCACATATAAATGTATTATACTTGGTTATTTAGAATGATGTATTATTTTGGATAAAGATATATTTTATATAATTAACTTAATTAGTCACCATAGGGTACTTTTCTAACATTGATCACTGATAAGCTATAATTTTGTAAAAAAAAACCAAATTTATCCCAAAATTCATCATATGTTAATACAACTGTCTAAATTTTGGGATAAATTTGGTTGACTTGACAATAAAGGGTTTGCTATGAGAAATATTTCCGTAATTATAGAACTAGTGAGATAGGCCACACAACAAATATGATTGCTTAATTTCTCAGTTTTCCAAGTGTAGAAGACAGTGAGATTAAAAATAAAATGACTAGTGAGTTTGCAAAAATTCACACAATTAAAAAATGCAAAGAGGATGATTATTTTTGAAGTAGTGATGTTTCTAGAAGTCTTAAATAAAATATCAACATATATTAACTTCAACTTCTCGTGTTTAATGATGTTTACAATTAATGCGATGCAGTATTCCCTAATTTGAGATTAACAGTCATAATTAACTCAGAATAGATTCTTTGAAGTGGTTCAAAGGGCTTTTTGTAATAAATTATTAGCCTCTAATAAGCTAATATGAAGAGAGTAGTTTGGGGGGATGGGAGAAACGTGTTAAAATCTCATAAAACATTTAATTTAAGCTAATGAAATGACTTTGTATGGTGCAGATTCTCTCTGTGGAAACAGAGCCATGTCCGACATTCCAGAGAAAGCTTTATTTAGAACAAGTTGAGAAATTTTTGAGATAGCAGGCTTTAGGCCACGTTATCTTGGGTGTTATAGCTGAGTGGATTTCTAGAATCTTCCACTCCTCTTTAAATCATTTTTTTTTAGATGAATCGAGTTAGTGAAGTATAAAAACATTTTCTGTCTTAAATTATCCAGATATGCTGATTTTAAGTTTGTCTGTCTGAGCTTTGCCTCAGAAGATGCAAGTCTTCACTGGTGAGGCTGGGCCCGGCAGACCCCAAGCATCCTCCGTGTTCTCACACACCATTGAGATAAGGAGAGTGAGTGACAGGAGCCAGGGACAAAGTCTGGCAAGCCTGCTGCTTCCAGTGCCCCAGTGACTTCGGACCACAAGGGTGTGGTGGGCCGTGAAAAGACACAGCAAATTTTAAAGCGTTAATATTTTGATAGGGTCAAAATGAAGGTGCCTGTGTTTGAGGATGTAAAAGATGAGACTGAAGAGGAAAAAGTGGAGGAGGAGGAAAAGCAGGAGGACAAGGTGAGTGAGAAAGAATTCGGTTAAGGGCAGAATGCAGTCTAACAGACAAGGAGAAAAGCCGGTCTCTTTCTCTCTCTTTTGTTATCCATAGGTGTTTCTTAAGCCTGTTATTGAAGACCTAAGCATGGAACTGGCCAGAAAGTGCACCGAGCTCATTAGTGACGTGAGTGTCTTTAGAGAGTTTTGTCTTATTTGCGTTGTTCACAGGGAACGGCTGTGTGTGGAGCCATGGGGCTGGAGAGAAAACCCTGAGGTCATTTGTTAGAGCGCAGTCTTTCTCTAGATCATAGGACTAAGTCCAGCCATGCTTGGTGGTTCCCCCAAGGTCATATCAGCAGGAAACTTCTGCTGCAGCCATTGTCCTCATTCCTAATCTGGGTCCTGTCTCATCTAAATTGTACAATCACCCTGGTTTGCATGGTGCTGAAGTTAAGATCATACTGTTTGAGACCTCCCTAGACTTTAAAAGTAGCAGGATTCATCTTGGAAGGACCTCTAAGGGAATGATTTTCAAAACAGAAGACCTTCTTCTAAATGAACGGTGCTTTATTTTCTGAGGATCTTTCAAAATTTCTGTCAAATGCAGTATTTTTCCAAATCACAAAATGAACTTATTTTTAATTGCACCTAATATTTCTTTGCAATATAGGGAGTGTGTGTGTTAATGGAACTGCAAATTAAAAACTCTGATTCACATAATAATGTGATTGAAAAGGATTATTTTGTTGTGATTTTTGTTTCTAGAAACTGAAGCTAGTTTATATGGTATTCCAAGGATATTATAGAATTATTTAATGTAAACACATACATTTTAAGTACATAAATAAAATTCTAAATTTATAAAAGATGATTTCTCACAAGGAATGAGAACCCCCCCCCCATATCCTCATAAATATTATAAGAGAATTGCTGGCAGAAAAAACATGGAGTTCTATGAAATGAGGTGTGCTTGTGTCTGCATTCTGGAGTGAATGAAAAACTGACTGCATCTGTTGTCTTTAATATCCAAAGTTGGTTTCCTGGTCAGTAGGGTCATTTATTGACCAGTTCGCCAAGACCAACTTGCCTGAGTCAAGTCAACAATAAATAACCATGGAAATGTTATTAATGTTGGTTGTTTTAGCCCTTCAAGTATGATGTTTGTAATTCTCAGGTGAAACGTACATTGAAAATGCTGCATCTCGTCTTTACATTACTGTGATGGTTGTATAAATGCTAACTATTCTAAGGCACTCCATATGTAACTTTTTATCTATTTGACTATGTTTGATAGTCAATAGAAACATGCACACTTCTTCCCATATTCCTGACATGATGTGATGTCGTTACAAATTGTAAAGTAACATTTGTGTTATTACTTATTAATAACCATAAGTTACTTAACACATGGGAAAATTCTTTGTAAACGGCACTAATAAGAAAGTGACAATGACAGCCATGGCCTTGACACCAGTGGCAGTTAAGACTTATTGAGCACTATGTCCCAGGTGTTGGACCCCCTGTTTTAGAAGCAAGGGGATGGAGGCACATAGAGATTAAAACAGGGAGGTGAACACGAAGCCCTTTCTCTTTGCTCGGCTGTTATTTCTCATCATGGAGACCCATGTAAAGCTTATTACTATCTCTCATGCTAACATTAGTAACAGCAATGTCATCATTTAAAATCCAGCTCTGGCGACAGTGCCTCTTCCACCTTTGCTATGTTTTTATTAAGTGCAATTATTACTGGACTGTAGCTTTAATTAGGTAGGTGATTTATTGGAGTGTTTTGGGGGAGGATGGCTTATTGGCGACATAGGAACCTTCTTGCAGGAGACACAGTGCCTTTTTATCACTTTGTGAATACAGACGCCATGCCGCTCCTCTCCCCTTTAGGTGAAATCAAACACAAGGGAGAGATTTGTGCTTATTATAGATTTATGTTTCACAGCAAAATATCTGTGCTACTTAAATATTAGAACATGATTATTGTCCCTTAAGTTGTGCCTGGATTGCGCTCACGTTTTGTTTCATCACAGAATTCTGTACTGTGTAAGATACTCACTTAGCTTCTGGAATTTTTACATGATTAATAAAGATTCTGAAAAATTATACTAATTTCTAGAATAAAGATTAAAGGAAGAGTTTACCCAATCATTTTAAAACCAGATGGTTAGGGCTGAGGATATGGCTGAGCACCAGTGTGTCTGTCTAGTTACTTGAAAGTCCCCCAACTGCAAAATAAATAAGTAAACAAACAAACAAATTAATAGTGAGATAAATTAAGTGCTTATGTTGCCAGAAGTTCTAGTAAAATATCACTAAGTAAAAGTTAATCATTCTTATTCAGTGACATCAATATTTTTATGGGGAAGAAATCACCTTATATCTGAAATTCCTTTTTTTCGAATCAATACAAGTTCTAAATTTTAAAATTTGATCTCCTCTATATAGTTGCATATCCAGCTGGTTGTCTAAAATGTATCAGTAACATATATATATATAAATGAATGTTTTATCACACTGAATTAGACTTTAGCAGGTATTGTATAGTGTTTCTAATTATGCAGGGCTAGATTGGTACTTCACATTTAACCTAGGGCACCACTCTCCAGCCATCATAAAATAAGAACCTACAGATGATTTGGTGGGGCTTTATAATCCATTGTGTCCTGGAGGGGCATCTGTGTTTCCTTGCCGCTTCCTGTTTTTTGAGGGCAATTTTATTTTGCATTGTCACTGAGTGAGTTTGTATGGTGTTTGCTGCTGATGTAGCAGAGCCATGCACCGTAAAGTCTGGATAAACCCTTATATGCTGGAGATCAACTCAGCTGGCAAGTTCCCTGGTATGGAAACAAGATCAGGGTGACCTTCAAGTCTTGGCCTTCCTGATAGCGTTCCTCCTTGGCGCATACGTGCCAGGCATTCCATGCACACATCCTGATAACTTTCCTTTTGGCGCATGCGTGCCAGGCATTCCACGCACACTTTTATCTTGTTACACACGCCTCTGTGTAGGATGTATGTGTCCTAGCCCACAGTGCAAACTGGAAATTGAGTGACGGTCCAAGACACACACCTAGCACTGGTGGGTTCAAGGTTCAAGTGGAGTGAACAGTCACCTTCTGGTCGGCTTTATTTCCGATACTGGTGTGGGGGCCATGGGTTTCTTTGCACAGGGTTCTTTTATACGCCCCCTACTGGACCAATTTCTCTTTGGGTTTCTTCGAGCCTCATACATGTTCATAGCAGATTCACAATCAGAACCCCGTCCTGCAGCCTGGCTGTGGGTTTCCTGGGACCATGAGTAAAATAACATTTAGTTTTGCTCCCAGTGCTCCTCAGAATGCTCTTTAGAGTTTCATGGACCTGTGGACAGCTGTCATCTTCAGCCCTAATTTCTGACCTGTGGCTGATAGCTTAGGCCTGGTGTCTTTTATAGGAGTTCGAATGATTGTAAGCGTGTGAGGGGCAGATTGAACAACCTCTTCCTGCGTCCCTCACCCTTTGAGCGTGACCTAGACTCATCTCTTGAGCTTGCCATTTCACTCTGAGGGAGAGGGTGGTGGTCCTTGGAAGCCCTGGAGACAGTGCTATATCTAGGTACCTCTAAGACAGGATGGAGAAATGTTAAGTGAGACAGCCTTGTGTGTGTGTGTGTGTGTGTGTGTGTGTGTGTGTGTGTGTGTGTGT